TGCATAAAATAATCAAGTAAAACAGCGTATGTTATAATCCACGAAATTGATTTAGAGTCGGAAGTACCTACCTATATGTCGGTAGATTATAAATAAGTTCAATGYACGAACAAGTATTTCAAATTAATTTGTTTTCATTGCTATACATAATATAATACAAAATTTACATATATAGGTATATAGTTATAATTCAAATKACTGAACTTAACTGACGACGTTTGAATCATTCCGCTATTTTGGGATAATATATCGTAACCAGCCAACTGAAAGGCGACAGAAAATCAACAGCTCGTAGGGCAGTCAGAGAGAAATACTACACATTTTTTACAAGTTTATTGAAGCCGAATTTCTCACTGGAATATTATACTCCAAACATAGTTTGGAATAAACAMAAAGGTAAAATAATAATAAGCGTCATCGAGTTCGATGCTTTGATGATATTATTAAAATCGGAGACTTATAATTTATATTATTTATGGACGCCGTCTGAGAATGATCGGCATTCGTGGTTGTGACATTTTATCATCCACGCGAGGATAAAACACGTATAGTATACTATTACGTAAAATGTGTTCAAGTAAATAAATCTTTAAGAACTCGCATTATAATAATAATAATAATAATAATAATAACAATCATACAAACGGATGATTATAATAAAAACACGTTTCTCAGAAAAACGAATTGATTATAGTATTAATATATCTCATACTTATATGGGGGACAATCGGTGGTCGAATGATACAAGGCTGAGTACGGCCCTGTTCAGCATAATACTAAATGTATAAGTTATAATAGATTGTATAGATACGTACGTATATCATAATATTCAAATATCGGCATTTTCATTAATGAATATACTGATGTATCGAATTATCAAGCTTTAATATTTTAAGCGTACGGAATGAAAAAAAAAATGTACAATCCAACTACTTTTAATATTTGTATGTAAAATATCTAACTATAAGCTTAGAAAAGTATACCCGGATTGGGAAGCTAGTAGGGTCATTAGTTGTTCAGTCGTCAGGCAAAAGTAATATCAAGTATAGTGATTTTATAGAAATTTAACTTTCGATTTGTTCGTAATTTATTTCATATGTTTAGTACTTACGTATTATATTATAATTTTAATATTTTATACTTCGATGGCATACCATTTAATATTAGTAATTGAAAAATATTAGCAATGAATTGTATTCAATGATGGTATAGTATTGTTTACATAATATGTTCTGGTATTATAGCTATACCTAATGATAATATTATACTCGTACATTGCGCAGATGTGTGCACCAATGCGATAAAATATAAAATCGTTGATGACATAAAAACAGAATAATATCGTATTAAATTCCATTGTGGAGGGGGGGGAGGAGCGGGTATTTAATGAAAACCCAGTAGGCTGGCAAATACATCATATATATACGCGGTATTATATTAAGCTTTATAGCCGAGACTGACCTGCGATTTTCTTCTCCCTCATTTTGTTCCAAAAAATTTCTGACCGGCCAACCTTCCATTGCCTCTCGAACTTGACGCTCACGCTACGGAAAAACTTGAAACCGAATTTATCGCCGGCGCCGGCCATAACATTCAGTGCTCGATCGCGTCCGGCACGCCACGCCGTTGCAGGTGGTCCGCGGACGGTTGTCGCTCAAACGTTTCTACATTATTATCTCTAGCAAACGCGCTGCGACTCCTATCGCTGCACGCGCAGTCGTAACGCCCACCGCCGCCGCCGCCGCCGCAGCGATGGTTCAAAATTCGTTCACGCCGAATCCGATCGACGATAAAAAAAATATTACCCTCCACCACCGGCGACCGCCTAGTTAGTGATGGCTAGTTTTAATTTTGTCACCTAATCTTYGATTATTATTTGGATACCACCATACACCATTATCACTGCTATTACTATAATACCAACGTGTAATGAAGTTAATGCGATTATTAAATATATAATATAAACGTAAGCATAAGGCTGTATCTAAATAACTATAAAAAAAAAAAATGATTATGTATCGTAATAGCGAAAATCGCTAAAAAAATTTACAGCGCACAGATGATTACGCCAAACGCTACTGAATATCATTAAATATCAGTGTATATAGTACTATATAATATGATATTATTTTCGTTTGTGCATACTTTGTTCGTCTAATCATCAGTTGAGTAAACACAGACATTTGGAATCTCTTATTCAAACAAATTCGTAAACGTACAATGAAATATTATTATATTTTATAGGTATAATATCGACTGTTTTTTAATTTACCAACGACACTATAATATATATATTATTATTATATAAGTAGGTATATATGTGTGTACCTATACTGTATACAATCTCTCGTTTGAAATCATAATACTGTGTATGACTACTTGTATATAGATATATAGTACATAGTCTTTATAAAAACATATTAAATTATTACATATCAAAATATACGTTGAAAATATTTTATAATATTATACTCATATTTCCATACGGGGGCCGCATAAAATACAGAGTTCAAAAATAATWGTTGTTCACTAATTTAGTGAAGTCAAAATATATTATTATATTGTTTGGATTTACTTTAAACGTTTTCTATGTATTATACTACTATTAGTATATACCTATACACGTACAAACCTTTATAAATTATATAAACCATGTTTATTCATCTCAAAACACTCCTTTTTATAATATACTAGAATATGATTAAAACTCATTTCATATGCATTAAGAGGATGGGTATTGTTTCCTCTCTAAAGCATTTTTGTATTTTATAKTATACCTTGTTAATAGATACGCCTAAACATTTTTGTATGAATATTTAGAATTAAATAACAAATAAAAGTTAACTTAAAATTATAATTACATAAATAAACAAATACGTACATTGTAAATTTTAAGTTTGAAAATAATAATGTAATGACGTATGATATGATGTGATATGATTGATTATTGTGAAACTTTTAAAACGAATCRTTCATGATATAATACATATATACTATAAGACAGACAAAATTTTAAAATGATTATTCCTAAAAAGGAAACTTAAAACTTTTTAATATCATTCAGGATATTATTAGCAATATCGGAATTCAAATTTATTTTTTTAAATACCTATAAACACCTTAAATAGGTGTTTGATTTGAGGCACAGCTGTTTGTCTAACCTTTTTTTGAACTTGAAAGTGTACTACGTATCTAAACTATCAACATCTACACATTATTTAATTATGTTTTTGTTTTTTTTTTCAATCAAATATTTGTTGTTGTTATCGGTTTATTTTTCTTTTAGAAAAAGAGTTCTTATTTGATTATAGCTGTTTAATTTTCAACAATAAGCATTTTATTAGATATATAATACGATCTAAATAATGTGTATTTATTATTTATAATAACTATAATTTCTGATAAGACTATCTCATTCTTATTGCAAAATAAACGGTTCACCATGTGAATAATATCGGATTAGWAAATCACTCACGATATCGATAGTAATAATATACCGAGTAAGAGTTTTATTATAGTTAAGCCTATATGTAAATATAGTCAGATTTTTATTTAAAAGTTACTTATTATCACGTTGTCAGATCTCTGGTCATCTCCATCCTATATGCTATTAATTATGCTATTTACATAATACGCAAGTATTCCAAATAACAAATTCCTAATCATCAAACATCAAAAATAATGCTTCAAGTGATCATTTTCAATAAGTAGGTAGGTAGCTATACAATTGGAAGTTTTAGATTAATGGCATTCAAATAAAAAATAATTATAAATATATGAAAAACGGATTGAAGTAAGTATACCTACAAAGAGTAAAAACACTAAAAACTATTATACTATTTATCAAATATATACATATTATAGAGATCCACGTGATTCACAAATTTTGCATAAACTAGTAGGCACTGGCTGGCATCAACAATGATATAATAAAAATATGTTATACACATGTGTTTACATCAAATGCCACCGGCCTAAAACTGTATATGCGAAAAATCTGATATAATATTATACATACCTTGACAGAAATAATGCAATAACAATATTATTATTGTGTCGTCTCGTATAATGGCTATCGCGGTGGTTAGCATAATGGGCAGGTATATAATAATATACATATTATAAAAATTATGTTGCTAATCGGCTAGCGTCACGTTACAACATTAGCCGTAACCGACTACGGATCGCGATAACAAACGTATCGAGGTGTTTAACCGTCGAGAAATTTGACTTTGCGTCGTCAAGGCGTAACCCATATATAGCTACAGTTTGTWACGATATCGCAATTTTAAACAAAACGCGAGCAAATAATAATAGCAATAATAAAAAGCTTACCTGCTAAGTATCGTTCTGAGTGACATTTGGAATGTTTCCAATTCTAAAAAATAAGAAAACAAGTCGGATATTAAAAATGTATTTGGAGCTAATTTTTTCAAATTTTCTCTTTATATTAAATAATGTGGGCGTTCAGTTAAAAGACATAGAGTAGAGGTCGTTTTAAAAAACAAGCTGCAGGGGCTGCTCGTTCACAATTATTTCACAATAATATTAAACTATTTAGTATTGACATTATAACAATTATACATTGTTCCAATTTCCAATGGCAAGTAAATATTTTAACGGTTTTGACTAATATTAAATTTGAGTAAAGTTATAAATTATAATCGACTACTAATTATATAATATATTATATACCTCTCAAGACATAGCCATATAGGCATAAACAAACGTTCATATTATGATACAGTACAGATGATTGTTTTTTTTTTTTTTTAACTATCTAACCAATAGTTTTCAATTTTAATAACACATTTGTGGGTGAACTATCAAAAAAAAAATGAATGATAGCTTAATGCAAGCCCTTCTTAAAAATGTCTTCCATTGTCAGTTCAAAATTTAAGCCCTAAAAGTTTCGGGCTGAAACCTACTCTAGAACCAAGTATTGTTTTTACATTTTAAAGTTCTTATTAAGAGGCATTATATCGACCAAAAGACTGGAGTAGTAATTATCGTTTCGTTTTTGACATGTTGGACGGTTTATGTAGGTAAAAAAACAGAGCCTCTTAAACGAACGCCCCGCATGCGTGAACAACCTCTAAAAATACCTCCGATCCGCCAGTATTATTGGTCCTGCGAGGTAGCGTCTGAGTAGATTTGATGAGATGTGGAGCAGATGAACTTTTACAGGCGTTCGCTAATTCTTGGTTAACTTCTCCACCACCACCGCCGTCCAGTGAAACAGCTGTCGGGCTGGGCAACTCGTAAGAGGTGACATTTTTAACCGGAAATTCGGATTCATTGGTCAAAGGCAGCCGATTTGGTCGAGTCGCTGGACGATGATATTGATCGCTTATATTTTCCTCTGTGGTGGGCACCCACACTGGTTGTTCTGTGTATTTGATGGTCGCCCGACGGTCGGCGTGTCGTCTCTGCAGCCTCTCCCACGTCTCTTTCCTTCGGCATTTCTGGTTTCCCGCTGTACAGGATGAATAAAAAAGACTCGTTAATATTATACATTATATATGTTTTATTTATATTGTATTTATATTGTATTATTCACGTTCTACATTCCCAATACGACAGTATAAAACACATAGATACATAATCGTAGAAAATGAGTGCATCGACATTTTAAGATTGTACTCGTATATAGAACTTTATATAGGTACTGTTTACCGATAGGTATATAAAATATATTATCTTAGTATGTACGACATCAGATGGGATGTGCATATTTTAAACGTAAAACGAAATGGTACGGATGACCAATTATGGTTGCTATTAGGGTGTCGTAGTATATTATGCCACAGATATAAAATATATCGATAAACTTATACAAGGAATAAATAAAAACAACGATAAGTCTTAGGTATCTATTTTATAAATTTAATCAGTATAGTGAGCTAGCTATTAGGATGTTTTTCACACCATTTTAAATTAAACAATTTTTCAAGTTTATCAAAAATATTTAAATATGTTAAATAATAATAATAATGTATTTCATACAAGTATCCTCGCATTAAAATATTAAAGCCTATTAAATTACAGAACCAATTATTATATTAAAAAGAAAAAAAAGGTTTATTTTTTGTWAATTGAATAATATATTATACAATTATTAAAAAGCTTAGAAAATGAGATTTTGAATTCTTATAAAATGAAATAAATATTTCGGTGAACAGATATTTGAAATTTATTGTTGAAATCCCATAAATTATGTCCAATGTGTAGTCCTGTAGGTCTACGAAATAAAAATAAACTACACTTTGATATCGAAATAGTTTTTAAAATTAGTTGTTTTCAATATTTAAATATTATGTAGGCACACGAATTTCCTCTGGAACAACAAACTCAACGGCAGGAAAATAATAAATATAAACATTGCCAACCACAGAAAAACATAGCTGACCTACTAGGTTAGAGTTATTTATAKCGTTTATCCAAATATAAAAATCGTTGAATGAAAAATATATATACGACATAAATGTTCAACAAGCAGTAAAACAAATTAATGTGAAAAACAAGTCTGATGAACGAATGCTATTACGATGTTGATTTTTTAGGAAATTTACTGCTACAAAGGAGCACGTCATGATATTATAAAATCT